TATTTTTCGTCTGAAAATTATTGTAAATATCAACTTTGAGTGAATTAGCTTCAGCAGTTACTAAAAGATCGCAGTTTTCGTATTTCTGGAAATTACCGTTATATGGGAAGTGGGCGTGGTTAAAGTCCGTTTCGCCCATTTTCAATACCAACCTACCCTGGATTAAGGGAAACCTACATACCAAATTTCGTTGAGATATCTCAATTTTTGCTCGAGTTATCGTGTACACTGGCGAACGGACAGACGGACAGACGGACGGACAGACGGACGGACAGACAGACATGGCTTAATCGATTTATTTTTTCATCCTGATCATTTATGTATACATTTGTCTATATCTATCTCGATTCGTTTTGGCTGTTACAAACAACCGTTATTTGAACAAAATTAATATACCGTTGTGCACAAGTGCGCTCGGGTATAAAAAATCAAATAAAAACACCTAAATAGGACTTTACTCCTTCATAAAAGACAAACAATAAATTAGATTCCACATAAAACCATTTTTATATCCATTTTATATTAGAGTATCATTCACCAATGAACGCTAAAACATCCAAAAACACTACATAACTAATATTTTACGGTATATCGAAATTGTCTAGTTAAGAAACTAAAGTTAATTGAGAAATTCCCAGAAATTCCCAGAAATTCCCAATTCAATAGCATCAAAAACTAACAGGACAATTCCTCAAACAACTTTTGTAAGAGAATGGTCCATTCAAGCAACCAGCGTTGCCGAAAGCTTTCGCTGTAGAGCTGGAAAACTATGGATAACATGGAAAACATCGATGGTTTTGGTAAGCACTTTCGATAGTTTTCAATCATACATACATACATAAAGATGCTGCTTGAAGCCAATAATCGTTGATAAAATTTTGTTCCTTAACAAAACGACGGACATATTTTAGCAATTCTGATCTCATTTTCAATAAAAATTGTTATGTTTAATTTTTGGCCTTTTTTAATCAACACCACGACCATCGACTGTTCTCCACTCGTCACTTCGCCCTAAAAAAATGTCATTTCGGCCAAAAAATCGCCAAATTTTTGTTTACTGTATTTGTTTAACAAAATAAAAATACAAACGAAATTACGTATAATGAGTTGTATGCATAAAAACTAAGCAATTGCGTTTTCTTAAAATTTCATATCTTTAACTAAAATTTATTTGAACAAATTGAGCAAAAGGTCTCAAATTTTAAGAAAAAGCATTTGCTTAGGTTTTATGCATACGGCCCAATAAATATGACCACACATTACAAAACTAAATGGAACCCATATTGCATATGGGTTAATAAAAGTGGATTTGCAATTGTTAACGACAATTTAAAATTACAATTTAAAACACAACTGCTTTTAAATAGTTGAACTCCACTGGTTTGAAGTTTTTGAAGATTTTGATCCAGTTTTAAGTAGGGGTATTCACACCGAGCTTGGTACTCGGTGTTCGGTAATTTTTCCCAATGTATTTTGTTTGTGTAAAAATATTTTACTATCGGTGTACCGGTTACGGAATTATCGCGAAGGAAGCTTGATCATTTTTCTGTTAGTTGGTAAACTACAGTCAGCTGATCGATATTTATTCAATTTTAAATCCGTCCGCTGCCGAAAGGCGTAACACATATGAATAAGTGAAATTTCTTAAATTTTCTGTTAAAATTTATTTTTATACCTTTCATGAGCATGAAATGGTATTATAACTTTGGTCCGATGTTTGTAAGTACCAGAACAAAAAGAGATAGACCCATTAAAATGTATACTTATATGATCAGAACGTCGAGTTGAGTTGATTTAGCCATGTCCGTCTGTCCGTCTGTCCGTCTGTCCGTCTGTCTGTCTGTTTGTATGCAATCTAGTCTCTCAGTTTTCGAGATATCCGGATCAAATTTGGTAGGTGGGTGTATTTTTATAATATATTAATCATTTGTCGGAACCGGAAGAATCGGACCACTATAACATATAGCTCCCATACAACTGATTGTTCAGATATGAGATTTTTCGTTATAACTTCTGCATTTATGCAGCTACGAACATGAAATTTTGCAGTACTTGCACCCATTATCAACAGAATACTTACAGTGAAAATTACAAAGATCGGGTCACTATAACCTATAGCTCCCATACAACTGATTGTTCAGATATAAAATTTTTCGTTATAACTCCTCCATTTATATAGCTAGGAACATGAAATTCCGCACTGTTTTCAATAATTATTAACAGAAAACTTACGGTGAAAATTAAAAAGATCGGGTAACTATAACCTATAGCTCCCATACAACTGATTGTTCAGATATGAGATTTTTCGTTATAATTCATCCATTTATGTAGCTAGGACCATGAAATTTCGCGCTGTTTTCACTCATTATCAACAGAAGATTTACAGTGAAAATAACAAAGATCGGGTCACTATAACCTGTAGCCCCCATACAACTGATTGTTCAGATATGAGGTCTTTTATCATAACTCCTCCATTTATGCAGCTAGGAAAATGAAATTTCGCACCACTTTCACTCATTATTTACAGAATACTTACAGTGAATATAACAAGGATCGGATGACTACAACATATATCTTCCATACATCTGATTGTTCAGATATGGGATTGTACGGTAAAACTCCTTTATTTGAACAGCTAAAACCGATAAATTTCGTAAGATATTTTATAAATAAAAAATACAAGGTCTACTGAGAAAATCGTCAAAATCTTTGCTGTATAAGCTTTATCTCCTATACCACTGATTGTTCAGATACCAGTTTTTGCGATATATCTTCTTTATGTAGGAAACTAAACCCAATAAATTGTGTTACCGGTTTACATACCGATCACGTAGCAGTGAAAATCACTTAGATTGGTGCTAATATAAGGTATATCTTCCATACCTCTGATTGTTCAGATGCGATTTTTTATATAGGTATGTAACTTCTCTATCGATGTATGCAGATGTATTCAAAATCAGTAATCTGTCAAACTAAAATTTGCAGATGTTCATGAAAGGTATGAAGCCTTCGGCATAGCCGAAGACAGCGCTGCTCTTACTTGTTTTTTAGGAAAAAAGCTACGAATCCGCTGTTGATAAACATAGATTACCAGACTAACAAAAGAAAACTGAAAAGGCCAGTTGATAAAATTACCAAAGTGGATGTGAAGACCCTTAGTGTAAAATTAGCATTTATTAACTGATAGATAATTTTGACTGAACAAATTCCCTATCCTACTTTTCTATCTCTTCCAAACCAGTGTCAGTGCAAATTAAAGATTTAGTTACAATTCTAGAAAAAATTCAATACAACCGAGAGCATGGTTGTAGAACAAAACTAGATAAATGCATGGTTGTATGTGGGATTCTGTTATCCTGTAACAAATTTTTTACATACATTTACAGGTCTATTCTGCACGTTACCGAAGATTTTGTAACCGGAAAATTGTATTACCAAAAAATGTTACCAGTTCTTGTCACCGCAATTCTAGGTACGTTGGTAATGCAGTTAAAATACTCAGCAATTCAGCTATGAAGAATTGTGCAGATTCTGGCATTGCATATTTCACGGGGCAACACTTTGTTTCCAACTTATGAGATGGTAACAAAATTTACCGGTTACGAGAGTAAAGAGAATGCGAAAAGGGTTTAAAAATTGACAGGAACTTTATTTACCGGTTACAAACTTTTTATTACCAGCGCAGAATAGACCTGTTAGTGGAAAAACTAAAATAAAAAACTCATTACGGATGAAAAATCGTCAAAACGTCATTGAGCTAAAAAAACGTCAAA